ACTCAGCAGTGTTGCCTGGTGTGAGCTAGTCAATCTGCAGGCCGGCCCCAGTCAGGTTGTCTGTGCCGCTTGCGTCACGTCAGGGGCCTAGCTCATGGCTGAGTCTCCAGCCTGGGCCGAGAGCAAATTGGGCCTGGGGCCAAATCCAGACCACAGATCTGGGGGCGATGTTCCCTGGTGGCCCCCAGAACTGGGACAGAGTGAAAGTGGCCAGAGCCCAGGGCAGACGGTGGTGCCGAGGACCCTAGCTCTCCTCGCAGGATCCCACCGCTGGGGTGGGGAGGATGACACACGACTTGGGCATGTGTGGTCTGGGCCAGACGGCGCCAGTTCAAGAGGGGTCTCTGAGCAGGGCTAGCAGGGGCTGTGTGTTGGGAAGGAGAGTTGTCCGCAGAGCTGTGAGGCGAGTGGGAATCCAAGGACTGGAAGAGCTGCAGATCCAGGAGCGAGGAGCATGGGCCGAGCTGCGGGTGGGAGCAGTTCAGGGGCTGCGGGTCAGAGTGAGGGGCACTGGCTGAGCTGCGGTGGGAGCAGTACAGGGCTGGAGAGCAGGAGAATGGGGGCTGAAAAGGCGTCCGCTTCCCGTGCCTCAGTTTCCCCACACTAAAATAGGGATTATGCCCCTGTCGGGGGGTGGCTGAGGCTCACTGTGTTAACGTTTCTTGATGCTGAGACTGCAGCTGACCTGCCCCCTCCCTTCACCTTCTGGGCGCCTGCTGCTGGGGTGGGTTGCTCACCCATGTGGCAGCTCAAGCAGCAGGAGCCCCCCTTGGGGAGCTTGCTGGGTGGCTTAGCTGCAGTGAGCCAAGACCAGGGCTCCGTGCTGCCCTCCCCCAGGGCTGGAGCAGTGATTCCCAAGGCCTCCTAGGCAAGCGCATTCCAGCCGCCTCGCTGGGCGCCCAGGGCAGCCAGTGCAGCCGGCCTTGGAGATCCTCGGGCAGCGCCCCCCAACACAGAAACCAGCAGCACCCTGAGCAAAGGCTCCATGCGCCTTAGTGCCCTGCAGCATCCTCCTGGGCAGTCCGAACGCCCGGGACTAGAGCCGGCCTGTTACTGGAGCTTTGGCACCAGAGCCCTGAGCGCTGCTCCCTGCTCACTGGTCCCTGTGGCTAGAGCTCCAGCTAGCGCCTTGCCCAGGAAGCAGAGATGTGGACTGGCGCTCCCTGCGTCCCCCGTTTGCACAGAGCTCTTCCTGCCAACAGCCTTGCTGGGCCCCTGGGCAAGATGGGAGGGGATGGCTCTGCGCCCCCAAAGGGGCAGGGCTGGAGCTGGCCTCCCCCAGCCAGCCCTTCCGTGCTGCACGAAGCACGCCGGCCTGAGGAGCTCTGGTCCCTTGTACATCGCCAGGCCCCCTTTGCCCCCCCTCCAGGCATCACGTCCGTTGTCTCTGCTGGCAGCACCTGGCCCAGCCCCACCAAACTTGTCTGGGTGAGAGAAGAGGATCCAGAGCATTGGGCTGGGGATGGGAGGCGCCAGGCTCCGTTACAAGGGCTGATGGGATCCGGAGCTAGGCAGCAGCACAGAACTGTGTGTGGAGCTAGGCCCTGCACAGTACAACGGGCTGGTAACCCCAGTGCCAGGCTCTTCCTCTCAGCACGCTTTCTAGAGGAGATCTGGGTCATTATCTTCATAGGGAAACTGAGGCATGGGGAGGGGGAAGTGACTTGTCCAAGGTCATCCAGGGCTAGAACCCAGGTCTCCCAAGTCTCTACCCGCTAGGCAACACTGCTCATCTGCCCTTCCCTCCTTTGGCCCATTAATTCCTTCAGGTTCCCTGTGTCCTGCCAAGAGTCCAGCAGGTTTATGTCCCTCTGCTTTCAGAGCTGCCCTGTGCTCCCGTGTCGCTAGCCAGCTGTGTTCTTCCAGGGCAGAATTTGCGCTATGCTGCTCCTGGGTCCTCGGCCCAGCCCGGCCTCCCCCACGCCCAGCACTCTGGCCTCAGCCAGGGCTCCCATGGCAGCACAGCCCCACGAGGTGTTTGCGCTGATTCGGGTGCTCGGCGTCGAAGGGCTCGTCTCCGGTCCCGCCCCGGCTAGCACTGCGCTGGAGACACTGACAGCAGAGCCACCCCGAACAGCGCTCCAGCGCCCCAGAGCTGCCTGCCCTGGGCCAGGGTGGTGCAATGGCCTCTTGGGATCTTCACACTTGGCTCTGCTGCCGTCTGCTGTAAGCCAGGCTCGACGAGCGTGTCCGGCACGTGGGCGAGGCTGGGATCTGTACAGCCCGGAGCTGCTCTCCCCCAGCATGTGTCATCAGCGAGACCCAGCCAGGCAGCCCCAGACCTGGGGCATGTGTGGAGCTGGGGGGAGGAGTCACAAAACCGCCGTAGCCCTTTGGGAAGGGGCAGGGGCTTGATCTCTGTGCCCGAGCCCTGCCTGGGGGAGAGACACTGGGTGACGACCAGTGCAGGAGGCAGAGCAGAAACCGGTGGGTGGGAGTTAGAGCCAGACTGGTCCAGAGCAGACGTGAGGCACCGGTTTTGCAGTGAGGTTGGGGAGGGGGGATCAACCCCCCTCTCTCCCCCCCCCCCCCGCACAAGAC